TTCGACAAACTGTGCACCTTGCCGTTGAGTGTTGAATTGGCCTAGCTTCAATCGATTTTCCATGCTGGCTTTACGTATTAACTTTTTCTCCTGTTGTGATTTCTCTAGTAGCAGGCTCTTGTTCATTGCTAAGCATTTGGCTAACTGTTCACTTTGTTTCTGCAGCTGATTCTGGACGTGTCTCCTTAACTTTCTGTAAAACAAATTGAAGTTAAGTTCATGAGATAAATAAGGGCACATAGAAATGATAATGATGATCATCAATCTATGAAACATGTGTACCATATTACAATACAAAAAACAACTTGAAATATGCGGGATGTGACTACACTTCTTCTTCCGTTAAGTTGCCGCCTTCATCTTGTTGAAGATTCTACAATTGCCTGGTGGTGATTGGACAGTACACCGGGACACAATCCCCTACTTTTTTTTCTTAACATGCACATGGGCCATTATACTGCACACAGGACCAATGGCTTAAACATATCACCTGAAAGATGGTGCACTTTTGAAACTTGCATTTCAGGCCTCCAGCGAAAATACAAAGAGAGCACCGATGGGAATTGAACCGATGACCAAGAGATCATCCACGGTTCAGCGATAACTCAGTCGCTACCACAAGTTTAACCAACTGAGCTGAGCTGCTCTCAAGCAGAACTCATTAAAGTGAAATATACTTCAGCAGATCTTTTAAGTTTCAAAACAATACCCTGTAATGCTAGTACTTGAAAACAATTATTACTCACTGCATTTAGTGTCTCCAACATCACATCTTTTTCTTCTAAACAACTCGTAGCTTTCTTTTCTAGATTTTCTATTCCTTCCATTGTAAGACTTGTCTGTAATTATAATTAAACAATTAAAAAATCTACTAGATTTTATACAGCTATAAAATAACCAAAGCCATGTAAAACACTAGCTTTAATGCTTACAAATACCAAACTTATAGCATACTACTATAAGATTTTTGTATTCAGAATATTCATATCCTTAATTAGCATATTTGCTCTGGTTTTCCTTATTTATTAGCCAACTGTAAATATATTTTATAATTTATTAGCACAATATTCAAAACATTTTTACAAAGATTTCACAGTAAAATATTGGCATACTCATTTGCATAAGAATATGTATTAATGTTTAAATTCCATGCTTTAATTTGCATAATGACATGGATTTCCAAGTAGTACTTTAGCATAATTATTACCATTTGCAAACCTATTAGCTGTCTATATTTGTATATTCATTTAGATAATTATTCATATTTGTATACTTGTTACATACTTACTTGAACCTCTTTGGTAGATGTCTCTACATGGATTGATTGCAAGTGTTTCTGTTGTTGATATTGTTGTTGCATGTGCATCATATTGCTGCCATCGGCATGGTTACTGTTTGAGCCAGATGGGGACCCATACTATTAAACAATAATAAATATTATTAATATTAACACTTATAAATAGGATGGGCTTACCCTGTTAAGAAAAAAAAAAAAAAACAGGTTATACTTTTGGGAGCAGAAATTGGAATCACATACAAATATCTGCTCCCATTTAAAAAGCCTTGATAAACAAAATTTGTGCAGGGCAAGTTTTTAGTTGATTGGAATACAAAATGTATAGAGGGCCAATTTTTAGTTGTTTTGAACACAAAATGTATGGAGGGCCAGTTTTAGTTGATTGGAACACAAAATGTATGGAGGGCCAGTTTTTAGTTGATTGGAACACAAAATGTATGGAGGACCAGATTTTAGTTGTTTTGAACACAAATTGTATGTAGGGCCAGTTTTTAGTTGATTGTAATTCTTAATGTATGGAGAGCCAGTTTTTTAATTTGGTTGCAACACAAAATGTATAGAGGGGCTGTTTTTAGTTAGTTACAACACAAATATGTATGGATAATAATTCAAGGAGTGGAAGAATGACTGATGGCACCTACTATTGTTACTGTTACATGGGGGGAAGGTGAGCGTGGGTGATTCATCATTGGTCCCACAGCCCGCCCTGGGCTGCCCGTCGCTGACGTCTACAAAATCAAACAGAAACTAATCAGTCAAAATCGTACAGGAATCAAAAGTAGGACGAAAACAAAACAAGAGCAGTGGTGGTCTCTCATTACATCATATTGTTTCTAATTATAGATTGAAGCTGTAACTTGTTAAAGGAGATGGTCTTGGGTTAATATCCATCAACTGCAGTGTCACTTGTTTTATCATGATAAAAAAACAAACAAAACAAAACAAAAGTATTAGACTATTAGAGTTGGTTTAATCAGCATCCTCTAATTAAAAAACTGTCCTATCGGAATGTAGTATGGAATGGACCAGAAAAAGATGTATGTCTAACAACCTATAAGGTTACGTTAACCACTGCACACTCAGTCATGTCTAAGAATGGCTGTGATTTTGTGGAACCGTAGTAACTATATCCAAGAGGCGCTGTTTAGCGAAACACTCTGATGATGTGCAAACTTGGGATGTGAAAGTTCATATAAAATTTTATTAATTATAAAAAAAAGCTTCTTACCCGAAAATATTCATTGATTTTTTTTACCTGCACGTAATTAGAAAGTAAAGTTTAAGTAAATTTCACCTGAATAATAGATTTTACTTATTTTACGTCATTTAAACTTTTCATAATGCATATTTTTTCTAATTTAAAGTGATTTCTCTTGTATTTGGATCTCAATTCTATGTAACTTCGAGAACAGTAATAGAAAACACTAATACTTAAGGCAATTATGAACATACCCTGTATATTATCATGGCTTTCCTGTATTTTACGCTTTCTTTTAGATCGGGAATCCTTCTTGTCTGGTGTTGTCAATGGTATAACCTATAGTAAATATATAATAAACTTTGTGAAATATCTAAAAAATATCTTTATTAGTAATCAAATTTGAATGATATACATTATTGACGAAATATAGTTTGTCACAGACTTAAAGATGAAAATATATTCTTGTTCTACATAAGTCAGAAATCTAAATATTTAATTTTAATGTTCAAGGCATGGTGGTGATGAATACAAAAATGATGATGACCAAAGAAAACTCAATAATTGTACACTGGATAATGAGGATAATGATAATAATGACTAATGCTGACAATGGGGACAAACTGATCAGGATGATGACAATGAGGATGATGATGGGATGATGATGATGGGATGATAATGATACTCAAAAATATGATGATGCAGCTAATACTATAATGATGATGATGATGATGACAATGATGAGGATGATGACAATAATGCCAATGACAATGATGATGAGAATGCCACTGATTATTATTATGATGATGCTTTACTGCAATTAATAATAATGAAAATGGTGCTTATGATAATCATGATGATGAATACTTGACTCCACCTCCAAGTCTCTGTCTTCGTATGAACTTCGACTACTGTTGTTTCCAACACTTAGATTTGTGTCGTCTTTGATGATGACAACAGGCATGCTTTGCCTGCTGGTACCTCCAGACATCCTCGCCTCTAAGAGTTCAATCTTCTGCTGATCCAGCTTACTAAATTCTGCCATCCTGAAACAATCCAATAAAAGACATATTCTTACTAAATTTAAATAATTTCAGAAAAACACTATGCAAATTGTATGGAAGGTTAAATGTGAGGTCATTGTTGAAAATCAACACAGAAATTAGGATTAACCCCCCCCCCCCAGTTAACCAGCAGTGAAGATAAATAAATTCAGAATTCAGGTGAATTATACAAATATTATGCAAGAATAGAGACCAGACCAATTTATGATATTAAGTGAACTGACCTAAACTAAAGTACCTCAGCCTACGTGGTGCTTGGATAATTAAATGTATTCAATTCTTCTTCTTTTTTTTATTTTATTAGAAACAACAATTAAACAAAATTAATGTAACTGTAAATTTATCTCACTGTAGGTACTGTAAGGTGTGCAAGTCTTTAACTTATATTTTTGTAGATCAGCAAATTAGATCATAAATTTGTTCTTGATGGAATCATACAATCAATGTTTTGATATCAATATTATTAATATTATTTATATTATTACAATATTTTATACTTTCTGTTGAACATAATTTTGGCAAATCAGAAAGTTTTAAAATTCAAGGTATAATAATAATAATAATAATAATAATAAGATTTATTAAGCGCACATCTCCACTAAAGTGCTCAAGGCGCTTGTGAAAACAATGAAAAAGCTTATCCTTTTAAACTAAAGGCTACCAGAGAAACAACCATAACCCACATCACTGCTTCCGTTTACCAGCAATTTAAGGTGCAAAGACCGGCTAGTACATAACTCACGGGTGTTCTCAGTTTTGTGGGCATCTAACTAAACAAATTAAAGAACAAAAAACAAAAAAAATCAATTCACAATAAATTAATTTCCTTGAGCAACAAAAAAATAGATGTGTTTTCAGAGCACGTTTGAACAAAGCAGTCGACGAACTTGATCTGGCAAAAGCTATCAACTCTAGAAATGTCAGTCAGATTTCAAAAGACCTAATAATAACCTAGCTATTGTGCCTAAATATAAAATTAAACGATGGACCTGTTCATTTGCGTTTTAATTTAGACTGATGAAGACTGAAGAGATGTCTAGACCCTAGTAATTAATAAGGCCTAGGCAGGAGGATTACCCTTGATTAGACTGCTAAGCCTATGATCTGATCTTGCAATATCAAACATACGCCGTCGGAATGCTCCTAGGCCCCTAGAACTTATCTCAGGCCCTGCGTGCTGGGAATACGCCTACAGAACGTACTATAAAACTACTTTATAGCTTCAGCATGTCCAGCCTACCCTAGGCTCAAGACATGCTGCTGCTGCTACATCATCATACAACATTATATTAGTTGTACTTTATTGTATTTTGTTTGTAATTTTTTGTTTAGTGCTTTTATATTTTTGTTTTTGTATAATTACAAAACTTGATTGGTGTTCAGTTCATTTTTGTATAAGGTGGAGTGAGTGCATTATCTGTTTGGGCTTGTGCCTATTCTCACTCCGGGCTTAAATTGTACTTGTATGATTGCCAAATAAATATTATAACTGTAACATGGTGATTCACGTACAATTGTAAATTATTTTCGAAGGCGATAATTGCCTTCCATACTACATCGTCTTTCTTTTTATCTTTCTCCTTTACGCGGTTCAGTAAAACTAAATTACCAAAGCTAGGTACTGTACTAAAGTTATAAAACTATCAAGATTATAAAATATTTAGGAAATTTGCACTTTGAAGGTATGTTGATTGTTTTTAGAATTAATTTATTATTGTTCGAATGCTAGATTATATTGCACTAGCTAAATATTAAAGGAAGAAATTTGGTGAAAGCCTTAGGCTGCCTAGCCATGTTCATGCAGAACGTAGCGTACATACGTACGCGCGGATAAATGCAAATCAGCTAGGCAGAGTCTCATCGTATAGAATGACGTCCGGTTCGGCCGTACACTTGTTCGGCCGTAATGTATTTGTATGGAACGCCAAATAGGCACAGAGCTGTGCGTATGCTATGTGTGTGTGGTTAACAATAATCTCCCTATTGTAATCCTGTCTCTTATACACTATTGCTACTGTATCCATGATTTCTTGTGGGAAAACATTGGATTTTATTACGTTTGTGTTAGTTAATAATGTTTTTTTGCAAGTTAGTAATACTAATACTTATGATTTAACATTATTCTGTTATTATGCTGATAATCAAACCAATGGATTTTATGATTTTTATATAGCATCTATCGATGTTTATGTTAATATTATTGATACGATTTACATAGTTGCATTTTAATATGTTGATTAATATACTGCTAAACCAATAATCAACCATCTTCCAGGC